TGAAAGTGATGTTGAGATGACCATAGTGCATAAATGTGAGCATAGCAAATTGTATAGATACAATGATGAATAGGTAATTCAATAGGGTAGTTATCAAGTTGTAGTATATAGTTAGGATTATAATAATTTTGTAAGTTAAATAGTAAGTATAGAAGGTTAAAATAATTACAAGCAAGGTTGTTAGCAAGGTTGTTGAATTCATTATTCTAATATGCAGCTACTTTATGCAGGATAAGTTGTATATTGTAAGATTTTGTAAAGTTAATTAAAGTATACCAAAGTGAGTAGTATAGAGTATTGATGAATGATAATTTAAGTAATGTTAAATTGATACTGTTGTATTTAGATATAGCAGATTGTGAGTCAGTATAAATGTGTACTGTACAGTTTCTGGATGCAGTAATAATAGAAGAAAAAATTGCAGTAATTTCTGCTTTAAAAGAGCATAACTAGAACTTAGTTTGTACTTGGAAGGTATGTAAAATGTTGTTGTTTTGTACTAAGGCCCATCCAATTTCTATTAAGCATTAAGATGTGCCTGTTTGAATAACTGATCTGTCAGTATAAAAATGAAGTTCAAACTTGTTATAGTTTGAGTTAGCAATTGATTGCAGAGTATTAATAAGATCATAATTGTTGAAAACTGATAGAATAAGTGATACAGGTATATAGATATTAGCTGTATTAGAGATTTGAGTAGAATGTTGAATAGCAATAGAATAGAGCAAGTTAAGATAATTTGCATTGAGATTAAGTTGTTGGTTTTAAGTATTAAATTTTCTAATAAATTTAGTTACAAGATTAATAGAAATAAATGTTGTACATTTGTTAGTAATAAGATTAGAATTAAGATTGTAGCCAGTGCATAGTTTAGTTGTAATTAAAGGTGTTGGGTATAGTTGTATAGCATGAAGCTCAATATTGCTATGCCAATAGATAATAAGTATTTGCCCAGAAAAGGTTGGTTGTCTTCTGGCTTTATCTATAATTATTTGATCTTAAAATATAGTAATAAGCTATGGTTTAGAATGTTTTGAGAAATGTTCAGTAGTGTAGCTAAAGTGATTGGTTTTTGGAAGTTGGTAATGATTGTAGAGAGTTTAATAATAGGAATGATTTGTTGTAATATCTTTAAGAGTAATAAATCATAATAGCTTTCTGCCTTTGTATATTTTATAAATTCTTGGTGAAATATGTTTCTAGTTAAGAAGGCAAGAATTGTCATATGTAGTAAGTTGATCAAAAAAAAGAATGTGGTGTTGGTAGAGTTGTTTTTTAAAAGTTAGATATTTGGAATGTGATAATAGTATTAATTCTAGTATAATTGTTCCAGTGTTAATTATGTGTGGAATGTTATACATTGAGTTTGAAGTAATAAATAGCTCTAAATAAGAAAAGAGCTGAATAATTTTGAAGCTAGTTGTTTGTTTGTTTGGTCCATCAATTAGGGAATTAGAATGGTTCAATATATTGGTCAAGGACCAAAAATTATTTTGTAGTTGTTAAAGACAGATATGAGAACTAGTGCCAAGGAGTTCAGTGTTGTTTAGGTGTTTAATAAAGTTAGAAATGTGATGTTATAGTTGAATATCCCAAATGTTGCAAATATTGTAAACTTGAGGATAAAGAAGAGTGCTAGTAGAAATTGTACAGCTAAGTTTAGCTTTTTACTTCACTAGGCCAATGTGATGAGTAAGGATTTTTTTACAAATAGCTTGGCTAAGAACAATATTTTGAATGTGATATTCAATAGTAGGTATAATAACAGTATTTATAATATATCATGCATAAGTATCAGTAATACATTTGGAGCTAGTGATTTTAATAAGATGTTGATATTTATTAATAATAAGTTGGGTTTGTTGAGAATGTTTGTTGTTAAGTATAAACCAGCAACCAAGAAATTTAAAAAGTATGCAGGATAGGTGAATAGAAAGTGTATAGTTGTTAAAAATAATAGAATTGTAATTAGATAGTGGATTGTTAGTTATAAGTATAGATTTAGAAGGATTAAGCCATGTCATAAAATGACTTAGCTATTAAGAGAATTTGAGACAGTTTTGCTTGTAAAAATGCAATCCAGAGGGTGTCATCCATATAAGCAAGAACTGAATAGTGTATTTTGAGTTTGTTGAAGTTTTTATTTTTGAGATTGATAATCCAAGTAGTTTGCATAGAATGGTCTGTAAATTGTGAATGAATTAAGGTTATAAGAGAATTATAGTAGATTCTTCAGAGCAGTGAAGTGATAGTTTCACCCTGATTAATGCCATTGTGAACTGAATATAATGAAGTAAGGCCAAGATTAGTAATAACTTGATTATGCTTATTTGTAAACAGATCTATTATTGTGTTTATAGTTTTTAGAAATAAAGCATGTCATAAAAGTAATTGTTTCAGAAGAGTAAGATTGACAGAGTTATATGCTTTGCTTATGTTCTGGGACAAGAGCCAAATATTTTTGTGACTGCAGAATGTATCCTCAATGAGATTATTAAGAATATGTATAGGAATAGATGTACTATTGCCTAGAAGAGTAATGTAATTGTAAGGAAAGAGGATAGTGTGTTGTGTGAATGCAGAGTTAAGTCTGTTTGTAATAATTTTTGTATAAAGTTTTCAAATATGTTCAATAAGGCTAATAGGTGTCACATAGAATAATCAGAAGTACATCAAACATATTACTAATAATCTTCCTAATATTAATTAAAAACTTATATTTGAAAATTTTAATTTCAAAAACAAACCTTTTAACTAAAATATCAATTCTATAAAATCTATTCTAAAAACATCCAAAATCAAAATTTTAACCTCAGAACTACCAACACATCTTAATCTTCATAAAAGAATCCAAAAACCTATACTAATCCTTATTATGCAAAGTGTTCTAACATATTAAAAAACACAATTTATATGCTTATCTGCTTATACAACCAAATAGAAATAAAAAAATAATAAAAAAAGCATAACAAAAATCTATAAAAATAATGAAATTAAAACAACTATATTAACAAACCTAGCTTAAAAACTTCAAAACATTTATATAGATTAACAAATTCTGATTAAAATTATAACAAATAACTTACTTAAACTCAGATTACTAAAAAAGAGCTTATTATTGAATATTTATTACTAAATTACAAAAAAGATATATAAATATAAATAAAAACCAAATAGAACATATGTTTAACAATATATTTTATTCTTACTAATTATTACTAACATTAATCCAGACTATATATTACTAACATTAATAAATAGACAATATACTTTATGGCTTAATAGATTTATATATTTGAACCAAACATCCTCTCTTACTAAACTCATAGACTAGAGGTTTCTTAACTATTCTAGCTAAGAATAGGTTAAGAGTAAATTAGTCCTAACCCTTACTTCCTTAGTTTAATATATTAATTTGTACTAGTTGTACTTAATTATATATTATTAAAATAAAGGACTAAAGAAAAAACCTCTTTTAAAAAAAAATAATAAAAAATAATACTGTATTTGCATGTAATAGTATGCCTCTGTATGCTATTTCAGGTCTATACATGTTAATTTGAAGCACATATGTGCCTTATTTTGAGTAATAAAATAATTTTTTTAAACTTCTGTACTAATACCTGAAATAAAGCATATGAGTACTATTACTGTAGTTAATTTCATAAATATCATTTTTCTTATAAATATTTTTTTATACTTTACTCTTTGTTTAAATGATTCAAACACTTTTAGATATAAAACAATTTTTTTAACATATTACAATTCTCAACATATTTATAATAGAGATATGTTAAATATTTTAATATTTAAAATTCAGTGTAAAAATTGAAATTTAAAAAATGTTTTAACATAACTATATATAAATATGTAATTTATATAGTCTTGATGGCTTTGTGTGTATTATTAAAAAAAAATAATAATAATGACAATAATAGGTTTTACACTTTATATTATTAGCCAAATATCCTAATTGTGTATTTAGTTATAAACCTTCTTAGGTTGATTAAATTGCTCTAGCATTTACCAAGTTAAAAAATTTTACTAAAAAAATTCACTGCTAGATTAGTATTAAGTTTGCTATTAAGTTAGATTTATAATACAAAATTTTGCAAAGAAAACTTTTAATTAGTATACAGAAGGCAGCTTCATAGAGAAAATGTCAAGTTATGAATGCTTTGATTATTTTTTTTACTTAATTTTGAAATCTAATTGGTCAGTAAAATTTTTAGTTAATCATACATTTAATCAATTTAAATTATATATATAAAGGTTAATTACTTTTTTTTATAATGACAAAAAAATAGCTGGTTTACAAAGATCACAGAGCAAGATAAACAATGGATGACTTTACTTTTATGTTTTATTAACAAGAGAGTTGAGAATAACTTATACTGATTATAGCTTTTAAAATTGGCTCTAAGATGAGTTACTTTATTTAAGAGAATACTTTTTAGCTTTTTTACTCTTACAACATGCTAATCAATGAATTGTTGATTTGCTTACAACTCTCATTTATATTTACTATTGAATAAATACCTCTTTAGTTAACTATTTACTCTTAATTATTGTTAATAGTTCTAGACCAGACTAGAATAAGTTAAGATTAATATTAATGTATATATATACTATATGTATGTATATAAAGTACATAAGAATCATATGAATACACAAAAAAAAAATCTCTGGTTATTAGATAGTTTTATAATTTATTATTATTCTCAAAATCTGATACCAGTAAGCAATAAATAAACAGGTATATAAATACATTAACTCCTCAAATTTTTAAATTTTTAATGCAGTAAAAGTTACTTATATATATCCAGATTTTCTTTATAATGCTATTATAAATTTTATTTTGTTAAATCTTTAATACTACCATTAATATTGAAGTATAAAAATCTATAAACTATGCATTATTTTATATGACATTAAAAAAAAAAATTGTTGCTAAAATTATGAAGAATCACAAATAATTACACAAATAATTATAAGGACAGGCTGTAGAGCTAAAAAAAAATTGTCAAATAACTTCAAAGCAAAAATTGAAAATTATTAGTAGGTTGCTTAAAAGAATTTTTAACACTGTTCTTGTAAAAATATGTAAATTAATACTCTTTAAACTTTTCATCATATTTTATATGAAATTCTTCAAGTACATATTTATAAAAATAATAAATTACAAGTTTATAGTTTTTAAGATTGACAAATAGAAAAGCTATAATCAAAAAGTTTTAAGTAAGTATAAAGAATTAATTTATTATAGAATTGAGATTATTATTTTTAATAATTATCACTGATAAGTAATATAAAATTTATTTATGTATATCTTGTGATCACATATTATATAAGGATTAATTTTGTAATTTATGTTTTTTATTTTTATGCATTATTCTTTTTGAATATGTGTAATATACTTATTATTAAAAAAAATAGAAGTTATACTGTGACATTTAAGTTAGAAGTAATATCATATGCAGAAAGTACATCAAATCGTAGTGCAGCAAAGTTCTATAATGTGGATAGAAAACATGTTCAAGAATAGAGAAAAATGAAGTTAAAACTTCAAGTTATCAAATGTAATATAAAGGGCACTTAGTAGTTGTAGACAAAAACCAATGTATTCTGTATTGGAATTAGATTTACTATCATTTATGAAAAAGAAACATGAAGAAAAATATAATGTTACAACATTCATGATAGGAAAAAAGTGAAAGAGCTAAGTGGAGTATTAGACATACAAAATTTTAAAGTTTTATATGTCTGGATCAGTTACTTTATGTAACATCATAATTTAGTACAATGTACTTAAACACAGATGGCCCAAAAGTTTTCTAAGAATATGCCACAAGTGGTTCAAACCTTTTTTCAAATTGCACATAATATGACAAAAGATATTAACAAACAATATATAATCTCTTTTGACAAAACACCAGTATAGTTTGACATGTCAAGTAGATCAACTATCGATTTTCAAGGCTCATATAAGGTGCCAATTAAAACAACCAAAAATAACAATTTGCACTTTACAGTAGTCTTAGACTACACAGCTTCAGAAAAAAAACTTCTGGCATTGGTATTATTCAAGTTACAAAAAAAACCCAAAGAAAATTATCAAAGAAATGTTATTGTGGCAGCAGCTTCTTATACTATTATGAATTGTGATTTAATGTTATCTACATATATTTCTCAGATTATTTAGACATGACCAGGTAAATTTTTTAAAAACAAAGGCATAATATTCATTGATCATCATATAAGCCATATTCATAAAGATGTTGTAAAGATATTAAAGATAAAGGGTCTAGAAGTTGTAGAAATACCTAGTAGAACAACCAATATACTACAACTACTTGATGTTTCTGTTAATAAGCTATTTAAGAGTAGTTTTAGAAAAAAATAAGATGAATAGATGGCTAAAGAAGAAAAAATATATACAGCAAAGAGAAATTGCAAAAAGGCATCTTATGAACTAGGCTGTAAATGGGTTTTAGAAACATAGATAGAAATTTATACAGAATTATTAGTCAAGTTATTTGAGTCAGCTGGAATTATATTGAATTCTGATAGAAGTGTAAATTATAAAATGTTAAGCCACTGACAAGCCATCATTAAAAATCATATGAATAATATAAATTTAGATAAAGAAGATGCTTACAATAATTTGATAGTTGCTAGAGATAATAAAGAAGCATTTGATAAAGAGATAGTTAATGAGGAAGATGAAAAAGTGTTTAATAATAATGAGAAGATAATAATCGATAATGAGATATTTAAAGAAATAACTGATAATGAGATGTTTAATGAAGAAATAATTAATGATAACATGTTTGATAAAGAAATAGTTAATGATGAGATATCTAAAAATTTTTATAAAATAGATATTGATAAAAGGTGAACTAATTAAAATATCATGAACTGAGCATAAACTTTAAATTACATGACTAATATTAACGCTGTGTAAATTTTTTGTTAGAAATTTATATTTTTTTTTAAGCGTATACTATTTCTTAAATTTTTATATCAAAAATTTGTGATGAGATATTTTCACAAATAGAAATTAATAAAAAAACAGGTTAGAATTGCCAGAATTTAACATAAAATAATATTAGCTTGCATTATTATTCTAAATAACAATGGTGCTTTAGAAAATTTTATTAAGAAAACACTACTAACATATACTAAAACTGTTTAGATATAAATTAGCTTATTATTGGGGTGTAGCGACCTAGTGAAGTGGATAGGTTGTCAACCCCCAAGTGGCAGGTCTAGAGTTCAAATCCCAGTGATGGTGAAAATTTGCAATTCTTTCTGTGTTACGGCTAACTGTCTTTCATGATTGGTTGGGATAGGATACCTGTAACCTGTGTCATACCAGCCTGACTGGAAGGTCTAGGCATTCATGCAATATTGTACGAAGGAACACAAACTGGTACCAGGTAGTGTGAACCCAAGATAAGTCCTTAGGCCATGTAAATCATAGGAACCAGGTAGGAGGATGGAAGCCTACTTGGAAGACCCAAGTAGAGAGGTAACTTGAACTTTTGACAGTGCTACTGTAAAGACTAGACCTATGAAATGGAGCTATAACTTGTGAAACCAGGCAAAGAGCCAGCCTTTGGGGAGGGGCCAAATGGAACCAACCAGGCCACCAGAATTTTCAGGTTCTGAAGGAAAAGGTTATATGCTAGCAAACATGTAAACCAAAGGTGTATGGTTACAACTTGCCTTTCTGGGCTATCTGGTTTGGGAGCTTGATAGAACTTGAATTGAATACCAAAATAGTAGAAATATGTTGTGAAGTCAGTACTAGGTTGAAGTGAACTCTACAAGGGTATAGCAGTTTAATAGTATGCTCTGACCGTCAGTGTTGGTCTTGGCCATAGTGATACCAGGTTAGCTGTAAAAATGGGATACAGAAGATTTTGAAAGGTTTAGTACAAAGTCAAAGGTTCTCCATGTGAGTGAACTACTTTAAAGACTTAGTGACCATGGCATATTTGAACCAGTATCGACTGAAGCATCTTGGTAGGTGTAGGTAGATGGGTGGATATGGGAACAAAGTAGTTAAATAGGAAACCTACAGGCAGGTTCCAGGTATGGCAGCTAGTATAGAACCTTCAGGCGAACTACTTAAATTAGACAATAACTAAAGTTGTACGATTAGCTAGTTGTACACTCTTTATATGGTTGCCCTCTGTGGTTGTAATGCAACCATTAGCTGAATGTACTATCAATAAAATCCTGGGTCGCAAGTACTCACCTTAATATTTAAAAAAAAAAATAAGTGCAACAATATTATATGTTATGTGCTAGAGGAAAAACCAGAAGGTAAAGATTTAGTTATTACTAATATTTAGTTATTACTAATATAATAATATAGGTTCACTGCAGTGATAACTTAAATATTCACTTTGGCTTTTCTTTTGAAACACTTATTTATGGGTATAGAGTGTGTCAAATTGAGTCTAAGAAAATATCTAAATGTTAATTACTGTATTTTAATAAAATTTATAATTTATTTTTATTATAAATTACTGTATAAATTACTATATAAATTAGTGCATATTTAATTATAAATTTTTTTTTATCTATAGTAATCATAAAAAAAAATATATATATATTACCTTAAACTTAACCAACATTACTATCTATTATTTGTTACCTTATACAACTACATATTTTTAACCTATAGATGCTAGCATTATTAATAATTTTAAAGTACAATATAGCAAATAATTATTTATTTTTATATTGTCTTTTTTTAATCTAATTCAATATTGATAATTATATAACATAAGTATAAACAATTATATGCATGAGAGTTAATTAGAAAATTTGACTAAAATAAAGAAAATAAGTAAGTTTAATCAATTAAATTATTGCAGTTTGCAAATTTTGCAAATCAAAAAATAAAAAAAAATTAATGATTTCTAATTTCTTTACCATTTTTTTAGACTTTTAGATTTGACTTTAATATTATTAAAGTCTAATATAAAGGTTTAAAAGTTTAAAGAAATTGAAAATTAGAAATCAGAAATTATTAATTTCTTTTTTTTTTTGAACTGCAAATTTTGCATAATTTTGCAAACTGCAATAAATAATTATTACAGTACTTAAATATTATATTACAATAACTATTTTATAATTTACTTATAGCAAATTAAATGTTTTGAAAGCAATTAAATTTATTGGAGATGCATAGAATACTATTATACAACAAACTATTTATAATTGTTAGAAAAAAATAGGTATTTTACTTAATTCTAACTTATTAACTATTGAAACAGCAATCAAAGAACAACAAAATTTAGAAAACAATAATTTAGAAGATTTGTGACAAATTTTAGAATCAGAAACTGCTAATAGTATTAGTGGGCTTGCTGCTTATATTAATAATAAAGAAATTGTACTAACAGAAAAAATGTTAAATGATAAACAAATTATTGATCTTGCAATATGATTTGTAGAATTTAAAAATAGTTTAAATAATAAAAAACTAGATTTAATAAGTTATAAAAAAGAATTAAATGTTTTAACTACTTTTATTAATTACTTTAAACAACAAACAGATGTAGATTTTAAAATTGAAGATTTGAATATTTTCAAAAAATATAATAATATTGTTAGAAAAAAATATTTAGCAAATATGAAGCAAAAAACTTTAAAAAATTTTTTTTAAAGTTATAATTTTATAATAATAAATAAATTTTTTAGTAATATTGTTTTAAAATTATTATTATTATATTATTATTATTTTTTTTAATTTTTTTTATTATTACACTCTTGTTATAATCACATATTTTTATAGTTCCAAGAGTGCGATTATAGCCAGAGTTAATTTTATATACAGATAGCAATGTGGCAATAAGAAACATTATTAGAGATTTAAAACAAATATGCAGAAATAAGATTCTTAAAAAGAAGAATGCAATATAGATAATAAAAATTAGAGAGCTTATTAGAACAAAGAATATTCAGATAGAATTGGGTAAAGTTAAAAGCTACAGTAAAAATAGATAAAATGATAAAGCTAATAGTTTAACAAAAAAAAGTGCAATAAGTAAAAAAATAATACAGATCAAAAAAGTCAGTTGTGAAGAGATAGAGTACTGCTTAGAATAGAAAAACAAATGTACTAATATACTAGCAAAACTGCTATGCAAACTAATAACAAATGCAAGATTAGGAGCAGAATAAAAAAAAATGAAAGCAATTAGAGAATTAAAACCAGAAACAGAAGTTATGATTTATAATTTAACATATTTTTAAAATAGACTGAAGATATCTAAAGAAGTACACTGCACAACAAGAAAAAGTAGTGTCAAAAAAAATGCATTTATAAAGTGCATAATGAATAAACTTCCAACCTTAGAAAAATTTAACAAATAAAGACCAGATATATATACAACAATGAAGTGCCAAATATGTCAAGATAAAACAAAAGAAATACAGACACATTTGGCAACATGTAAAGAACAAAGAAATCTGTGAAAAAGAATCCAAAAAATGACTATCACAACAGTCTGTAAGAGATTAAAGGAAGAAGAAAAAGTTTAGGTTCCTCTATATATATTATATACAGTGCTTTTTGAAAAAATAGAAGCAGAGAAAATTAAAATAAGAGAGACATTAATTAAAGATCTCATTCTAAAAAAAACACAAAACAGATTAAGGCAGCTCCTAAGTACAAAATTAAGGCAGCAGTTTATAAATGCAATAGCAAGAATAGCCTGAACACATTCTACAAATAAGTATGAAAAATCCAATATGAGAAAATCAATGAATGAGAGAAAAATAAAGAAATAACAAGTATTATAAAAAGAAAAAAAAAAAAAAAGGAAAGTACCAAGAAAAAAAGAAAAACCAAATTAGCAAGTAATAGAAAAAAGAAAAGAGAAAGTAAAAAAAAAAAAAAAAAGAAGTACAGAAAACAATTTTGGAGCTTGTCATAAAAAGAGAAGACCCTTTCATTATGAACTTTAAGTAGTTAGATGAGTAGCTTACTTCTGCTTAAAGTAATGCAGCAGGTTGCACTTAGATACTATTAGAATGATCAGGTGATGCTAGGCTTAGCTATTAAGAATTTTTATGTAATTGCAAATGTAATTTCAAAATCTTAATAAAGCATTAGCATGACTGCTTAGGGAAAAAAAAAGGTTCTAGTAGGTTTAGTATAAAGTTAAATATAACTTAGTAACTATAATATATTTTTATCAGTTTATTAGTTATTAGTAGAGTAGAAATGAATATAAGATCTAGAGTGTTTAAATAGAAGATTTATAAGTAAGTTCTAAGTATAGCAATTAGTATAAAACTTCAAACAAACTATTTAAATTAGATAATAACTAAAGTTGTATAAGTAGGAGTATAGTAACTTAGTGAAATGAATAAGTTGTCAACCCTCTAAGTAGTAGATTGTAAGTTTAAAACTTACTGATAGCAAAAATTTGAATAATCATCTATGTAATATACAAGTAGTATTACAGTAATAGCATTTTGTTAATTAGTTGAAATAAGATATCTGTAACTATAATTACATTAGCATGACTGGCAAATCATAGATCATTTGTGTAATCTTAGTTATACAGAGAAATGCAAACTAATACTGAGTAATGCAAATTTAAAATAAGTCCCTATAGCTGTATAAATTTATAGAACTAGAAAAAACTGGAACTAACTTGAAAATACTAAATAAAAAAATAACACAATTCTTCAACAGTACTATTGTAAAGACTAGATTTAGAAAACAGATACTAATATAAAAGAATTAGGCAGACAAGAACGAACCTCAGGTGAGGAGTATTACTAATCAGGCTGCCAGATTTCAGACTAAAGAAAAAGAATATTGGACCAGACTCAATATACCAAGGACAGGTTACAGTCCTACTAAA